GCCTGAATATCCGCGAGTCTTCTTCTCGTGCGGTAACTTCTGCGCCGGCGGTAGGAAAGGGATGGGCTCTCGAGGCGCGAAGAGGGCTAAGAGGTTTGGCGGTAAGTATTGTGTCATAACGTGAATGGCATCTAATCTGAAGACTTCTCTTCAAAGTTCTGTTGATCACAAATGGCGTCAAATGTATGCGATTTGTAGTGATGTCTCACTCGAGCCCTCACTCTAAAGACACCAACGATTCGCTCAACGATTACTCAATATTGAGACACCGATTGACCACAGATTCAGTCGACAAATACTTGTCTCGTCTTAAAACACAATCTTTTCGTTAATTTCACAAAATATTTCATTTAATTATAAGTCAAACAATAGAGTGGTTTGGAGTGAGGGCTCGACGGAGTGTCCATCACTAGTCGTTACACTCATCACACAAATGACGGCAAATGACATCATTTGTGGACAAAAGTGTCAATCAATCTCATTGTGAAACGTTTGGCGAGATTTACAAATTGAGTCCAATTTTGTCCTAATATTAGATTCATTGCATCCAAACAGTGGTCCAATTGGTGTCATCCGAAGACATGATTATTCCGATCCGTTGTTTCACTTGTGGTAAAGTGATCGGCAATAAGTGGGAGCCGTATCTCAATCTACTTCAGGCCGAATACACGGAAGGGTATGTCATCTGATGAGACACTCTTTGAAATGGCATTAATGTAGGGATCAATTGCCACCAATTTAGTGATGCGTTGGACGCGTTGGGTCTCAAGAGGTACTGTTGTCGACGTATGCTCTTAGGACACGTGGACCTCATCGAGAAACTACTCAATTACGCGCCGCTCGAGAAGTAGACATCACAGGACCGGTGATTGGGCACCACTCGAGTCATTCACAACACTTACCATTCATTAGATGTATAAAACACTTGTACTCAGCACTCAATTCAACTTTCATTGTGTTGGCAATTAATGTCAAATCAATTATCAAATAAAGTATTGTTTAAATAAACGTCAATTTATTTTAAGAAACATTCATTTATTACTTAATAAATCAAATTCAGTTCAACACAACTAAGCCGTGAGAACACAGGCGCCGCCGACGGACTTAATCTTCTGTTCAGCGCTTTTACTGAAAAACCTGGCCTTCACTATAAGCGGCTGTTTGGGAAGCCTTCCTTTGCCCAACACTTTGAAATATCCCTGCAATCCATACATCATTGGTTACCATCAATCATAAGACAAACTCATGAGTGCATTACGTGTTTGATGACATCGACGACGGGTGCCTTTCCATCGGTGCTGGCCTTGTAGTGCTCTCGCATTTTGTCGCCCACTAGAGCCCAGATCTGCTCCACATTAATGGTCGGGCAGTAGTGCTTCAGACTATTCTTCTTGAGGTGAAAGGTCCTCATTCCCACTTTGCCGAAGTATCCGGGATGGCTGTACACCAGATAATCACCGTTAGTATCCAGTACTCGCCATACCATTTGTATGATACAAATAGCGGTCAAATATCACTTACTATTTATCGAAATGAATCCGATGGTGATGTTGTCCACCGGCATTACCTCTACCTCCGGGATGTTTACGGTGTTTACCTAAACATTAGACGAAGAGATTGTCATTAGTGTGACGAATGGTGATGAAAGGACAGTGATATGGCGTACCGATGCGTCCGTGTCCGTGAGACACGTGTCCACGAAGTTTGCGCGTCTTCTTCAAACGGGTCGGCTGTGGGTGAAGACAAACCAGTCATTAATGCATTCATTGTCAACAATG